CATTTGATCTTCGACAAAGGCATTAAGCCTATTCACTGGGGTCAGGACTCCCTCTTCAGCAAAGGGTGCTGGGATAACTGGTTATCCATTTGCAGGAGATTGAAACTAGACCCACATCTCTCACCATTTACTAAAATCAACTCAAAATGGATTAAGGATTTAAATATACACCCTGAAACAATAAAACTTATTAAAGAAAATATAGGAGAAACCCTTCAGCAAATAGGGCTGGGCACAGACTTCATGAATATGACCCCAAAAGCATGGGCAACCAAAGGAAAAATAAACAAATGGGACTATATCAAACTGAAAAGTTTCTGCACAGCAAAAGAAACAATTAACAGAGCTAAAAGACAGCCAACAGAGTGGGAGAAAATATTTGCAAAATACATGTCTGACAAAGGACTAATATCCAGAATATATAAAGAACTCAAACAACTTTACAAGAAAAAAACAAGCAACCCAATTAAAAAATGGGCAAAAGAGCTAAGTAGGCATTTCTCTAAAGAAGATATGCAAATGGCCAACAGTCATATGAAAAAATGCTCAACATCACTCAGCATCCGGGAAATGCAAATCAAAACCACACTGAGATACCATCTCACCCCAGTTAGGATGGCCAAAATCCAAAAGATGCTGAAAGATAAATGCTGGTGTGGTTGCGGAGAAAAAGGAACTCTCTTACATTGTTGGTGGGAATGCATAATGGTGCAACCCCTATGGAAAATGGTTTGGAGGTTCCTCAAACAGTTGCAGATTGATCTACCATATGACCCAGCTATTTCACTGCTGGGAATATATCCAAAGGAATGGAAATCATCAAGTCGAAGGTATACTTGTTTCCCAATGTTCATTGCAGCACTCTTCACAATAGCCAAGAGCTGGAATCAGCCCAAATGTCCATCATCGGATGAGTGGATACGGAAAATGTGGTATATCTACACAATGGAATACTACTCAGCTATAAAAACGAATGAAATACTGCCATTTGCAACAACATGGATGGACCTTGAGAGAATAATATTAAGTGAAACGGATGTACCTAGAGAGAATTATATTAAGTGAAACGAGTCACGCACAGAGAGAGAAATACCACATGTTCTCACTTATTTGTGGGAGCTAAAAATAAATAAATAAATAAATACACAAATAAACTAGGGGGAGAGGGAAGAAGACACAATAATTACAATTCCTTGAAGTTGATACAACAAGCAAACAGATATGAGGTTGTTTAGGTTTCGATAATGGGCCACAACAATCAACCACATTGTATGGTGACAAAATAAAAAAATTAAAAAAGGAAAAAAAACTTTTTAAAAAGGAAAAAAAAAAGAAGGTCACAGAGGCAGAGCCTGAGGCGAACTCCGGGAGCGGCTACCGGTGTTTGGGGGGCAGCTACCGGGAGGGGGGCAGAGCCAGGAGCCTATACGGGGTAAGGGGGACCTGAGTGGCCAAGGGCACAGCTACAGATGGGGGTGGGGGAGATTGCACAGGTGCAACTATGGAGAAGGGGGGCATGGCCTCGAGCCCTGAAACTAGGACCACCAGGTGAGGATGCAGCCCTGAGAGTCAGCCCGAAGCCTGGGGCCTGAATCCTCCCCACTCCCGGGGGCCTGTGTCAGGGCAGGCCAGCCTGGGGCGCCGACCTGTGACGGTGAGCATGGCGCTGGTAGCCTGGGAGCCGCAGGCGCAGGTGTACTCGCCGGCATCCTCGCGGCGCAAGTCCCGCAGAACCAGCTCGGCCACGTGGCCCTGCTGCCATGGCTCCCGGCGCCCGTCGGCCTGCAGTTCCAGGCCGCCCTTGCTCCAGACCACGGCAGCGTTGGACAGGGACAGCTCACAGTGCAGGCTGGCTGTGGAACCCTCCTCAGCCTGCAGGCTCTGCAGAGGCTTCCGGAAAACCACCTGCAGAGCTGGGGTCAGGGGGCGAGGGGAGGCAGGGTCAGCATGAGACCCGCACCCCAAGGCACCTGACACCTGGCCTGCCTCTGCAGGACAGACATTCCCAGGCTTGGGAGTGGGGGACATGGGTCTGAGTGGGCTTCCAGAGTATGGGGAGGTGGTGGGAAAAGTGGAAGGGGGCTCGAGATCTGTCCAGGACAGCCCCCTCAGCAGAGCTGTGTCCACCTCAGAGCCCAGGGTAGGGCTGTCTCCCCCTCAGACACTGGGACAGGGCTGTGTCCCCCCACCAAACCCCAGGGAAGGGCTGTGTCCCTCCCAGACCCCAGGGCAGGGCTGTTTCCCCAGGAGACACCAGAGTAGAGCCATGTCCCCAAGACACCAAGACAAGCCTGTGTCTGACAGACCCCAGGATGGGGTTGTGTTCCTCCCACAAAGCCCAGTGCAGGGCTGTGTCCCCTCAGATCCCAATGGCAGGGCAGCATCCCCCATATACCAAGACCCTGAGATGAGGCAGGCACTATTTGCCCCACAGAGCCACACTGAGAATCAGGGCAGGATGCAGGGCCCAGAGCTGTGGGGTATCCCCCTCCCTGGATGGCACACTCCCCCCTTAAGAAAGAATCCTGGGCTGAGCATAATGTCAAGAAGCTCACATGCAGGAGGGTGGAAACGGGCTGATTCAAAGGGGGTGGCAAAAGTGGAAGTTCTGTCTTCACCACAGTGCCAGGCCACAGAGGACATTTGGATGGAGATCAGACACAAGGACAGTGGGCAGTGCTGTGGCACAGGAGCAGAGGGACATAAAAAACCAACACAGGGCACAATAGAAAGGAGCACCCATGGTGAACAGGCAGTGTCAGCCCAGGGGTGGACACAAAGCAGGCAGGACACCCAGATGTGTCCACATGGCCACACGTGGTCTTTACCCCTGACGGTGAGTGTGGCCGAGCTCCTCTCCTGCCCACACACGCACGAGTACTCCCCGGCGTCTGCCACGGCCAGGCCACGGATCTGCAGCTCACACACGGCCCCATCCTGCCGCAGTCTGTATCTGTCCCCATCTCTGAGGGTCTCTGTTCCCTTCTGCCACTCCACAGGGGCTGCCTTGCTCAGCTCACACCTCAGCGTCGCTGTGTCCCCTTCTGTGGCCTCTTGGCTTCTCACATCTTCTATGAATCTGGCAGGCAGGGCTGGGAAGGGCCAAGCAGTCACTGAGAACACTGAATTGTCAGGAGGACTCTGTGTACAGGACACAGAAACCACAGGAGCCACATACGCTGAAAAAGGACCACAACGTGAGCAAATAAATGAACGTGCAGATGGTGAGAGAAGCAAACGGCCTGGGAGGAACAGACGACACAATTGGTTGGACAGGAACATGGGACACCTGACAAGGAGAATGGGAGGTGGGAGATGCCCGGAGGATCCCAGTTAGTGGACAGATGCCCGTGGTGTCACCACAGGAGCTGAGCCACACTTAAAGGCAGGAAGTGGTAATGTGAAGACAACGTGCAGGTGCAAAGCCACAGGTTTACACAGCCACACACGGTCTTTACCCCTGACGGTCAGCGTGGCCGAGCTCCTCTCCTGCCCACACACGCACGAGTACTCCCCAGCGTCCGCCACGGACAGGTCACGGATCTGCAGCTCACACACGGCCCCGTCCTGCTGCAGGTTATATCTCTCCCCCTGTCTGAGGGTTTTTGTTCCCTTCCTCCACTCCACAGGGGCTGTCTTGTTCATCTGACACTGCAGTGTGACTGTGGTTCCTTCTGTGGCCTCTTCATTCCTCAGACCTTCTGTGAACTTGGCGGGCAGGGCTGAGGAGGATCAGAAAGACACAGACATATTCACGTTCTCTGAGCACATGGAAGACACATGACGTGGATGGCACAGAGAAGACACAAAACCCTGCTGCACACGGGCCAAATGCCAGGCGTGCCACGCACAGGCTGGGCATTGTGGCTTTCTTTGGTTCAGACTGTGCACATGTCACAGACCCCTCAGGAAACATGACAGGGATAACAGACATGATGGGTGGAGAGGACACAATGATTTGACAGAACACAGAACAAAGGGAACAGAGAGAAGAGAGGACTTGGGCAGCCACCAAATAACCCGCGTGGCCACATGGACTCTTTACCCTTGATGGTCAGTGTGGCTGAGGTCCTCTCCTGACCACATACACACAGGAACTCCCCAGCATCTGCCATGGACAGGTCAAGGATCTGCAGCTCACACACGGCCCCATCCTGCCACAGTCTGTATCTGTCCCCATCTCTGAGGGTCTCAGGCCCCTTCCTCCACTCCACGGGGGCTGCCTTGCTCAGCTCACACCACAGCGTGGCTGTGGCCCCTTCCATAGCCTCCTTGGCTTTCAGATCTTGAGTGAACTGAGCAAGAGCTAGGAAGGGTCAAATGGACAGAAACCATCAAACCCTCTGCAGCATCTGAGAAACCCGACCTGAACATCCAGGTGGACACGGAACCGGGAGGTAGAGTGGAGGGAAGTGGGAAGAGGCAGACCAAGGAGTGCTTGAGGGTGAGGGCCTATCAAGGTGCAGGTTGGATGAAAGATGGACTTCATCCCACACTTCTTCTCAAAGGGCATCTTGTACTACGCGTGATCTTCCACTACTGGCTAAGCAAGCTCACAAACCATGTATGCAACAGTCTGATGAACATCTCTCCCTATGAACCCACAGGAGGTATCGTGCTCACAACATCTACTGCCCTGTCATAGACATGATACCCATCCTAGGTAGAGCTTCCATCCAGCTCTGCCCACGCCTGGACATACCTGCACTGACTGAACATCTTCCCAGCCCACATGGGCATTTGCCTTTCCCACCTACCAAACTCCTGTCCTGACCCTACTGGACTCACACTCCCACCCATTGCTGCCTCTTCCCTGGCTCATGTCACCTGGACCCAAGTGGATTCCAGCTGTGGCCTTCTACTCACAGCTCTGACCCTTCAACCTGCCATCATCTCCTTCCTCCCAACTCCAGGCCGAGTGAGAAATCAAAAGTTACAGCCGACAGGGCCCACACTGGTGATACTCTGTTACAGGCTGACTGTTCTCCAAAACTCTTACATTGAAGTCTTAACCCCAACTACTTCAGAATGTGACTGTATTTAGACATAGGGCCTCTAAAGAGGTGATCAAAGTAAAATGAGTTGTTAGGATGGGCCCCAAAATCAGTATGATCAGTGTCTTTATAAGAAGAAGACATTAGGACATAGACACACACAGAGGGGTGACCATATGAAAACACAGGGAGAAGACAGGTGTCTACAAGCTAATCAAACAGACTTCAGAAAAAGCCAATTCTTTTGATATTTTTATCTCAGACATCTAGCTAGCAAACTTAACACAAATTTTGTTGCCAGGAGTTTGGCGCTGTTGTAACAATTACCTAAAAAATGCAGAAGTGGCTTTGCAACTTGTTAAGTGGTAGGTGCTGAAAATTTTTTGAGGGGCATGTTAGAAAAAACTAGATTTCCATAAAGGAAGGTGTATTAGTCCACTTTAGTGTTTTCCTGTAACAGAATACGTGACACTGGGTAATTTATAAAGAACAGAGGTTTATTCAGCTTATGATTCTGGGACAGCCGCATCTGGCACGGGTCTCAGGCTGCCTCTACTCATGGCAGAAAGTGGCAGGCAGCCAGCGGGTACAAGCAGATCATATGGTGAGAGGAAGCAAGAGGGAAAGAGGGAGGTGCCAGGGTCCTACAAACAACCAGCTCTCACGAAAACTAATAAAGCAAGAACTCACTCACTACCCCCACCCCTAGGGAGAGCATTCATCCATTTATGAGGGATCCGCCCCCATGACTCAAACAGCTCCCAACACTGCCACACTGGGGACCAGATTTCCACATGAGTTTTGGGAGGATGACACATCCACACTCTATCACTACCACCAGGAGTGTTGGTGGAAATCTGGATGTTAAAGCTACTTTTGGTCAGGACTCAAATGAAGATGAAAACATGTTACTGGAAACTGGAAGAAAGGTGATCCTTGTTATGAAATGGCAAAGAACTAGGCCAAATTGCGTTCTAGTGTTTTGTGGAAGGTAAAACTTGGAAACAACAAAATGTTGGATATTTTGCTGAGGATATTTAGTTGAAGATGCAGCCTTGAAGGTTTCTCCTTGCTTCTTACAGTAAAATGTGAGATGAAAAAATTTTAAAAAGAAGAAATGATAACCAAAAAAGAAACAAAAACTTGAAGTTTTGGAAAATTTTTAGCCTATCCATATTGCAGAAAAATGAGAAAGTGTGTTCTGGAGAACACCAACGATGTGGCTGAACCAATCATCATCTAAGCTGTAGAGTTTATGATTTATGGATGGGTGATTTATGGATCCAATCAGCCATCTTAGCAGAAGCCAGGGATAAAGATGGGATTATCCAGGAAAGATATATGGAGAAGCCTCTTGTCTGATGGCTTTGACCTCCCATGAATTGCACAGGAGACCAACGAGATTTTTGAGAACTTTATACCAGCATAATGAAGCCAGATTGGACTGCATGGGGCAGATATGGGATGAAATGAAGGAAGGTTATCAGACTTCTGAAACTCTACAGGATGGATGCAAAGAGCTATATGGCTGCAAACGTGTCATCCTTCAAGAAGTGGGAAGAATTACCCCCCAAAGGCAACTCAGAGATCAGCAGCAGGGCTATTACTGCTCAACAGAGGCCCAGAGAGCCTGGCTCCTTCTCCTAGGGATGAGGGGGTGAGGCTGTTGCCCAAAACTGAGAGGGCAGGATGCCGTCCGGGACCAAGATATTGGGGCCAATACCCTGGTTAGCATTAAGACAAAAAGGAATGTTCTCCCGCCTTAAAATCAGATGGAATTTACACTGCTAGGTTTCGGATTTTCTCGGGACCCATCACCTCTTCCTTCTTTCCAATTTCCCCATTTCTGAATAGGCACATTTATTTTATGCCTGTCCCACTACTGTATTTTGGAAGCACATAACTTTTCTGGTTTCATAAGTTAACAATCAGAAAGGAATTTTAACTAGCGTGAGTCCCACATCACACTTAATTTATATGATATTTAGATGAGATTTGCACATAGAGCTGATGCTGAAATGGCTTAAGACTTTCAGGCTGTTAGGATGGTGTGAGTGTATTTTGCATGCGAGAAGAACATAAATTTTGGGAAGCCAGAGGGTGGAGTGTTATGGCCTGAAATCTGTCCCCCTCCCCTACAAATGTCACTGTATTTGAAAATAGGACCTTTATGAGGTAGAATGATGTTGTTAGGGTGGGCCCTAATCCAATGTGACTGGTGTCCTTAATAAAAGAGATTAGGACACAGACATACACATAGAGGACGACCACGTGAAAACACAGGGAGAAGACGGCTGTCTAGAAGCTAGGTCATCTCGGGAGAAACCTATGCAGCCAACACATTGATCTTGCAATTTCAGTCTCCACAATTCTGAGAAAATAATCTCTACTGTTTTAGACATCCACCTGCAGCACTTTGTTACAGCACCCTGAGCAGAAGGCAGCATTCCCGCAGAAGCTTGGCGTGACCCCAAGGATCAATCAAACTCTCTTGCCAAATTCTGGAGGGCCTGGCCTGCCTGGCCACCTCCTGTGCCTGAAGCTCCCAACTCTGCTCTGCACATCTGTCAAACAGTGCACATACCCCCCACTCCCGTGCCTGCAGCCCAAGAGCCCGGGTACATCCTCGGTCCCTGGAAAGATGCCAGCGGCCTGGGCAGCTCTCCTGCACCCTGACTCCTGTCTGTTGGTGCCTCCATGGGGTCCCTGCACTATTCACCACTGGAGTCTCTAGCTCCAGGCCCTAGACTGGTCCAAATCAGTGGGTCCTCAGTGTGCCTTTGTGGAGTGAATCACAGACCAGGATGGTGAGAATGAGATGAGAATGACACTGAGAGATACAGAAGAGCACAGACCACGTGAGTCAGGTAGGAGAAGAGAAAAGGCACTCAGGTGGCCGCCCATAGTCGTTACCGCTGACGGTCAGCGTGGCCGAGCTCCTCTCCTGCCCACACACACACGCGTACTCCCCGGCATCTGCCACGGCCAGGCCACGGATCTGCAGCTCACACACGGCCCCGGCCTGCCTCAGGCTGTGTCTGTCTCCATCTCTTACAGTCTTCATTCCTTTCCTCCACTCCGTGGGAGCTGCCCTGCTCAGCCCACACCACAGTGTAGCTGTGGCCCCTCCCATGGCCTCTTGGCTTCTCACATCTTCTATAAATCTGGCAGGCAGGGCTAGGAATGGCCAAGCAGTCGCTGAGAACACTGAGAAGATTGTGTGTGTACAGGACACAGAAACCCACAGGAGCCACACACACTGCCACAGACCACGACATAAATGAAAGAACAAATGCACAGATGCTGAAGGAAGAACATGGCCCAGGAGGGCCCCACAAAGGGATAAGCACGAACCTGAGGGCATCTCCTGAATGAGAATAAGGGAGGCGAGAGATGCCCATAGGACCCCAAATAGAAAACAGACAACCACAAGTTGCCACAGAAGCCGTGCCACATTTGTAAGCAGAAGCTGGTGATGCAAAGACAACATGTTGATACCAAGCCACGTGTCCACGTGGCCACACAGTCTTTACCCTTGACAGTCAGAATGGCTGAAGTCCTCTCCTGCCCACACACACACGAGTACTGTCCAGTGTCCATCACGGCCAGGCCACATATCTCCAGTTCACACATGGCACCATCCTGTTTCAGGCTATATCTGTCCCCATCTCTGAGGGTCTCAGGTCCCTTCCTCCACTCCACAGGAGCCTCCTTGCTCAGCTCACACCGCAGCGTGGCCGTGTCCCCTTCTGTTGCCTCCTTGTTTCTCAGTTTTCCTATGAAGTGGGCAGGCAGAGCTGCAACAAGTTCGGACAGACACAGAGAACATCAGATCTTCTGGAAAATACTGAGGGACGGGACAGAGGACAAGACACAGAATCCAACAGGACAGACCTGAGGTGGACAAGGGGTGGGAAGCTGGCTACAGATGCTAGCTCCTGATTTGTACAATAGCCCAGGAAGCCGAAAGAAATTCCAGAAGTGATGTAAGGAGGGGGACAGAGATGGGAGAGCTCAGAACGAACGAAGACCGACAGCAGGAAGCCAGTGCTCGGACATCTGAACACGGATCTACTAGCAACAAGCACGCTTTACCCCTGACGGTCAGCGTGGCCGAGCTCCTCTCCTGCCCACACACACACGCGTACTCCCCGGCATCTGCCACGGCCAGGCCACGGATCTGCAGCTCACACACGGCCCCGTCCTGCCTCAGTCTGTATCTGTCCCCATCTCTGAGGGTCTTCGTCCCCTTCCTCCACTCCACAGGGGCCGCCTTGCTCAGCTCACACTGCAGCGTGGTAATGGTCCCTTCTGTGGCCTCTTCATTACTCAGACCTTTTGTGAACTTGGCAGGCAGGGCTGCGAAGGATCAGAAAGACACAGACACAATGACTCTTTCTGAGCACACGGAAGACACAGGACGTGGATGGCACAGAGAAGACACAAAACCCTACTGCACATGGGCTGTGTTAGGTGCGCCAAGCACAGGCTATGGATTGTGGCTTCTGTTGGTCACGCCTGTTAACATTGTGGCCATGGCCCATTCCATAACCTCTTGTCTTCTCAATCTTTTGTGAATCTAGGGGCAGGGCTGGGAAGGGCCAAGCAGTCGATGAGAAAATCGCTATCTGGTGGGCTCTGTGTACAGGACACAGAAACACACAGAAGCCACGGACTGCCAAAGGACCACGGCATGAACAAGACACAAACGAACAGATAGCGAGGGAAGCACGTGGCCCAGGAGCAACAGAGGACACACAAAAACGGACACGAACATGAGGACATCTCCTGAGGAGGAGAAGAGGGGGTGGGAGGTGCCCAGAGGAACCAGGTAGTGGAGAGACAATGACAAAGTCACCGCAGCAGCTTAGCCGCATTTGGAAGCAGAATGTTTTCACACGGCAACAACGTGTAGACACCAAGTCACAGCTCCATGTGGCCACACACGGTCTTTACCCCTGACGGTCAGCGTGGCCGAGCTCCTCTCCTGCCCACACACACACGAGTACTCCCCAGCGTCTGCCATGGCCAGGCCACGGATCTGCAGCTCACACACGGCCCCATCCTGCCGCAGTCTGTATCTGTCCCCATCTCTCAGGGTCTCTGTTCCCTTCTTCCACTCCACAGGGGCCACCTTGCTCAGCTCACACCGCAGCATGGCCGTGTCCCCTTCCGTGGCCTCTTCATTTCTCATATCTTTTGTGAACTTGGCGGGCAGGGCTGAGGAGGATCAGAAAGACACAGACACTATCACACTCTCTGAGCACATGGAAGACACATGACGTGGATGGCACAGAGAAGACACAAAACCCTACTGCACATGGGCCATGTGCGGGGTGTGCTGAGCACAGGCTGTGGACTGTGGCTTCTGTCGGTCCAGCCTGTTAACATTGTGGCTGTGCCCTTCTGTGGCCTCCTCAGGTCTCATACTTTATATGAATCGAGCACGCAGGGCCGGAGAAGTTCAAAAATACGTGGAGAACATCAGATTCTCTCCAGAATGTTGGGTGACAGGACATGACAGAACTGAAGGCAAGACACACAATCCTACAGGACCACAAGACAGAACCATGGTGGGACGAGGGGTGGGAGGCTGGCTACAGATGCTGCTGTCTCCTGTTCACACGGCAGCCCAAGAAGGTGAAGGGATTCCATGCAGTGACAGGTAGAGGGTGGCGGAGACACCGGGACAGAACGTGGAATGAGTGAAAGTGGACAGCAGGAAGTCAGTACGTGGACATCCAAACTACTTGGCCATGTGAGGTCTTTACCCCTGACGGTCAGCGTGGCCGAGCTCCTCTCCTGCCCACACACACACGAGTACTCCCCAGCGTCTGCCACGGCCAGGCCACGGATCTGCAGCTCACACACGGCCCCATCCTGCCGCAGGCTGTATTTGTCCCCATCTCTGAGAGTCTTCGTCCCCTTCCTCCACTCCACGGGGACCTTCTTGCTCAGCTCACAATGCAGCGTGGCCGTGGCCCCTTCTGTGGCCTCCTTGGTCTTCAGATCTTGAATGAATCGAGCAGGCAGGGCTAGGAAGGGTCAGATGGACAGAAAACATTAAACCCTCTGGAGTATTTGGGGACCCAGCCTAAACATCCAGGTGGACACAGAACCAGGCAAGCTGGAGGGATGCAGGAAGATGCAGACCAAGGAGTGACTGTGAGGTCTTCCTGCCTTCTGCCTGCCAAGGTGAAGGTTGGCCAGGAGATGAGCTCTATCCCAAATCTCTTCTCAAAGGGTATCTTGTCCTACGCATAACTTCTCACTGCCCAAAGCAAGACAGGCCCCTCCACCTCGCAACCCACGTATACAACACAGCGATGGCCACCTCCCTCAGGGGACATCCATGACTTTGTTGCATACAAGAGTTGTGACTTGAAACAGGAGGCACTTCCCAGTCATATCCATTGCCCCAAAGTCGTGCCTTACTGAAGAGACACTATCCCAGGCAGGGCACCCATTCAGCACCGCCTGCGCCTGGACACAGTTGGGCATAGTGCACACCACCCCAGGCCGCGTGAAGCCTCGCCTCCTCCCCCTCGCACTTTCCTTTCTGACCCTACTGGACCCCCAGTTTTACCCACTGCTGCCACTTCCTTGAGTCACATCGCGTACACCCCACCGCACTCCAGCTGTGGCCTCCTAGCCACTCCCTTTGTCCTCTCACATGCCATACTTCCCCTCTGACTCCAGGAAGAGCAGGAGCTTCATAAGATACAACTAACCGGGTTACAGGTGACTGTGTCCCCCAAAATTCATATGTTGAAGTTCTAATTCCTACTGCTTCAGAATGTGACTGTATTTGGAGATAGGGTCTTCAAAGAAGTGATTAAGATAAATGGGGTCACAAGGGTACGTCCTAATCCAATCTGACTGGTGTCCTTATAAGGAGAGGAGGTAAGGACACACACGGAAGGAGACCAGGTGAAGATAAAGAGAGAAGATGGTCATTTATGAGCCAAGGAGAGAAGCCTCAGAAGAAACCAGCCCCGCCAAAAGCTTGACCTCAAACTACAAGCCTCTGGGACTGTCAGAAAACAAGTTTCTTCCATTTAAGTGGCCCAGTCTGTGGTTCTTTGTTGTGGTAGCCCAGGCTACCATATATATATATATATATATATATATAGTACCATGAGTGGGGTGCTACCACAACAAACATCTAAAAATGCAGAAGTAGCTAGTGAACCGGGTAATGGCTAGAGGCTGGAAGAATTTTGAGGTGCATGTGAGAAAGAGCCTAACTGCCATGAGTTGACTACTGATGGAAATACAGACATTAAAAGTGCTTCTGGTCAGGCCTCAGATGAAAACGAGGAACATGTTATTGGAAAACATGAGAAGGATGATCCTTGTTATAAAGTGGCAAAGAATTTGGCCAAACTGTGTTCTAGTGCTTTGTGCCAGGCAGAATTTGGAAACAATGAAATTAGATGTTTAGCTGGGGAGATTTCTAAGCAAAGTGATGAAAGGCCCAGCTTGGTTTCTCTTTGCTACTTGTAGTAAAATGTGAGAGCAGCAAGACAGACGGAAGAAGAAATTGTTAAGCAAGCAGAAACCAGAAATTAAAGATTTAGATAATCTTCACCTAACCATATTGCAAAGATTAGAACATGTGTTCTGGGAAGAATACCAAAATTACGGCAAGGCAATCAAGTGGTAAAGAGAATAGGTGTGTGATTTATGGATCCAATCAGCCTTCTCAGCAGAAGCCAGGAATAGAGAGAGAATGATACAGGAAAGATCTGTATAGGACCCTCTGATCTGATAACTTGAAGCCCCATGAATTGCCTGGGAGGACAGTGGTTTTGTGAATTTTATACCAACAGAAACACTACTCACTTGGACTAAAAATAACAGATGGGACAAAACTAAGGAAGGCTGTCAAACTTCTGGGATTCGAAAAGGTGACCCAGTAGAGCTATCCAGCTGCAAGCGTGTGTTATCCTTCAAGAAAAGGCAAGAATGACCCCCAAACGTGGTTCAGAAGTGGGCAGGAATGCCACTGGCCCAGAGAGCCAGGCCACCTCCAATCAAGGACGAGGGGGTCAGGTGGCCACCCGGGGCCAAGGAAGTGGAGCTGCAACTCTGGTCAGTCTGCAGGACAGACCTATGAGCCAAAGGAAATTATCCTCTAACCTTATCACCTAATGGAATCTGCCCTTTGATGTTTCAGACTTGCTTGGGATGCGTGACCCATTTCTTCTTTCCAAATTCCCCCTTTTTGAACAAGAATGTCTATCCTGTGCCTGTTCTGTGATTGTTTTGGAAGCACATACCTGTGATTTCACAGGTTCATGACTAGAGAGGAATTTTGCCTCAGGATCCATCATACCTCTAGTGTCCCTCACACAGACTTAGATAATACTGAGATGAGATTTGGGACACAGAATCGGTGCCGGAATGGATTAAGACTTTGGGGCTGTTGGGATGGGGTGAAAGGATTTTGCATAGGAGAAGAACATGAATTATGGGAGGCCAGAGGGCAAGTGCAACGGGCAGAACTATGTCCCTCCAAAAATTCATATGTTGAGGTCCTAACCCCCAATACCTCAGGATGTATTTCAAAATAGGATCTTTATAAAAAGAATTAAGTTAAAATGAGGTCCCCCGGGGTGGGCCCTGATCCAATAGGACTAGTGTCCTTATAAGAGAAGGATATTAGGATGGCTGTCTACAAGTCAAGCAGAGAAATCTCAAGAGAAACCAGCCCTGCCAACACTTTGATCTTGGAATTCCAGCCTCCAGGATGGTGACAAAATAAATTTGTGTTGTTTGAGCCACCCAGTCCATGGTACTTTATGGCAACCTCAGTAGACTGAGGCAGCACCTCTTCAGAAGCTTGGCACATTCCCCAAAGTCAATCGCTCTCAACAGATTCAGCGGGTCCTAGCCTGCCTGGCCACCTCATTTTGGGCTCCCAACATTGCTGTGCATGTTGCTCAAAGGACACACATGCCATCACCTCCGTGCCTGGGCATATCCACCTCCGAGAGCCCGGGCATATCCACAGACTCCAGCAAGATGCCAGTGGCACCAGGCAAGCGCTCCTACACCCTGACGCATGTCCACTGGTGCCTCACTGGGCCCCTGCACTATTCACCACTGGGGTCTCTAGCTCCAGGGCCTAGACTAGTCCAAACCGTGAGTCCTCACTGAATCAGAAGAGTGGCTGTGGAAATGAGATGGCAAATACCTTGAGAGACACAGAAGAGCACAGACCACGTAAGTCAGGTAGGAAAAGAGAGAAGGCACTCAGGTGCCCATGCAAGGTCATTACCTTTCACGGTCAGCGTGGCCGAGGTCCTCTCCTGCCCACACACGCACGAGTACTCCCCAGCATCTGCCACAACCAGGTCACGGATCTGCAGCTCACACACGGCCCCGTCCTGCTTCAGGCTGTATCTGTCCCCATCTCTGAGGGTCTTCGTCCCCTTCCTCCACTCCACAGAGGCCGCCTTGCTCAGCTCGCACCGCAGCACGGCCGTGTCCCCTTCTGTGGCCTCTTGGCTTCTCACGTCTTCTATGAATCTGGCAGGCAGAGCTGGGAAGGACCAAGCAGTCACTGAGAACATCTGACTGTCTAGGAGACTCTGTGTGCAGGACACAGCAACCCACAGGAGCCACACACACTGCCAAAGGACCATGACGTGAACAAGAACAAATGCACAGATGGCAAGAAAAGCACATGGCCAAGGGGCAACGACGTGAACATGAGGACATCTTATGGATGAGGAGGAGAGGGGAGAGATGCCCAGAGGACCCCAATTCGTGGGCAGAAACCCACAGGATCACCATAGGAGTTGAGCCAAACTTAGAAGCAGAAGGTGGTGATGTGACAACAACCTATACATGTGCACACACGGCCACACACGGTCTTTACCCCTGACGGTCAGCGTGGCCGAGGTCCTCTCCTGCCCACACACGCACGAGTACTCCCCAGCATCTGCCACGGCCAGGCCACGGATCTGCAGCTCACACACGGCCCCATCCTGCCTCAGGCTGTATCTGTCCCCATCTCTGAGGGTCT